GTGGCTCTGAGGGGGACTGACTCCCCCCGGCCTTTCCTATTGGTCCCCCGTTGGGGGAGGGTGTTCCAGCTGGGATAAAAGACCGCGTGCGGAGCGCACGGGCGGCATTGGCGACGGACGACGGCGGAGAGCACAGAAAAGCTGGTGGAGCTGGCCCGCATGGGAAAGCAGTAACCCTGGAAGCGCCCTGAAGAGGCGGGAGTGACGGGTTCCTGCTACAGCAGGGGAGGCGGACTGAGAAGAGCTGGTAGAGCTGACCAGCGGGGGGGAACGGTTACCACAGAAGCGCCCTGAAGAGGCAGCTGGTGCCTGCCCCGCCGCGGCACGAGGAGGGCTGAGAAGAGCTGGTGGAGCTGGGTAGCGGAGGGGAGCGCTATCCCCAGAAGCGCTTTGAAGAGGCCGCGCCCGGACAAGGTGAGGCCGAGCCGCAGAGCTTCCTGCACCCTTTGTGCTGGGGGGGTCAGCACTTGGGCAGCTGTGGGGGACCTGCGGCCCCTCTGCAGGCCCGGGGGGTGTGTGAGGTTGTGGGGAGTGACGTCCCGAGTCACGTGGATGCTGTGTGGCTCATAATCCCCGTCAAGCCCTGGTGATTTTTGTTTTCTGTGAAAAGTGAAGCACACGCTGCCCATTCCCTCCTGTGGTGCATGCACCGGCAGGAGCAGCTGCCCGGTCCCCCCACCTCCTGGGCGAGCCACTCACGTGTTTGTCCCGTGCCCCGCTCCAGCCATGCAGCACCTGCCCCAGCCCCACTCCCTCCCTGCGATTGTGTGTGCTTCTGTGGGAACTTAGTGTGGAAATGTGTGTGCAGATAGGGTGCTGGTTGTGGGAAGCCGCGTGGTGCTTTGGAAGTGTCCGCGGGACAGGGGTGAGGCGATTATGTGAGGGGATGTAGGAACTTTTTGTGAAAGAAGTGTGGAAATACGGTGAGAGTGGTGCGGCAAACCGGTGCTGTGTTAACATGGTAAAGCCGAGGGCAGGATGGTGGCTTTCTTGTGTGGCAAATGGGTGATCTTGCGGCGGCACTGAACGGGGTGGAGAGGCGCAGGGCGAAGGAGAAGGATATGCTGTCTGGTCGGGCAGACGGGCGGTGGCAGCTGCGGACAGTGCTGCGCCGCGGGGCGGGCTCAGCCCTCAGCGTCTCCCGCCCGGCTGAGGCAGGTTCACCCCCGGCGCGCAGCAGAGGGGGCGGGGCCAGGACAGAGGAGGGGCGGGGCCAAGGTGGGCGGAGGCGCGGAGGTGGTTCCACCTGAGGCGGCGGCGGGCAGGAAGCGCGGAGCCCGCGACGTTGCAGCAGCTGGACGGAGCCAACGGTCCGGGGATGCGCAAGGGGCCGGGCCGAAGCGCCGTGAGAAGCCGGACTGCGGGCAGAGTGGAGATTCAGCAGGGCTGCTGGCGCCTCCGCGCGGCGCTAGGTCAGGGCAGGGAGCGGAGGGGCCGCAGCGGGGGGCGGGCCGGGGGCGGGGTCCGGGGAGAGGCGGTGTCGGGCTCCGGACAGGGTCTGTGGCTCCCCAGCCAGGCGCGCACACGCGGAGCCGGCCCGGCCTCGATGGCGGGAGCAGCAGGGCCTGCCCCAGCTGGGGGCTCCGGAACCCACCGCCCAAGGGCCCGTGAGGGAGAGCAGGGGTGCGGAGGGGAGGGCGCTGCGGACCCGCGGTGCGTGCGGCGAGCGCGGGCCGGGCAGAGACCAGCGGGAGGCCGCAAACTGGCAGTGCCGCCCATCTCGGGCAAGAACGGGGGCCGGGCACTGCAGAGCCGGCAGGGTTTACATTGCACATTGTGCAATCGTGTCCCGAGAGAAGGGCGCTGGAGGGAGGGAGCGAGGGCGGCCGTGAGTGGAGACTCGCCCTGGGTTGCACTGTTGTCAGTGAAGAGCGCTGCAGAAGAGCATTTTTCTGTGTGTCAGCATTTCTTTTTCTTCTTTTGCAGATGTGTCAGAGAAAGACAGCGGGGGAAGCCTACCTGTGAGCAGGGCTGGGCTGCCACACGGAACAGCAGACTGTCTTCGTTGGAGCCGGCAGTTTGAGCCGCTGCCCTCTTTCATTTCTGCAGTAGTTCTCTTGTCACTGCTGAGTGCCTACGAGCTGGTCACCCAGGATGCTGAATCCCTTGCTGAAAAGGGATTAGTGGCAGGTGTTCCCTGACTTGCTCTCTGGGAGTCAAGTGTTGGAGGTGGGGCTGCAGCCTCAGGTGGTGGGTCCACAATTCTGCAAAGCAGGTCCCCTTTGATAGTCAATGCACATCGCCCCCGGAAGAACAAGCAGACAAGATGACAGACGAGTAGCAGTGAGCTGACCATGAGGGAAGAAAACCAGGCCAGCCTAACAGGAGGCAAAGGTAAGAGAATTTCGATGCAGGGAGTCAGAGAAACGGTGCGAAGGGAGGGGACTCTGGACAGAGGGACCTCCCTGCCATTACATCTCAATCATATATTGGCCACTTTTTGCACACATGAGCCTTTGGGTGATCTCCCTATAACCCGAAGATGGGTCTCAGCTCTCAATGCTGTTGCACTTCTGCAGCAGTTGAATGTAAGGTGGACAACCCTGTAAGCAAGGCGTGTGTCACCGCCACCTCATTTCTAAAGGCTGTGGATCTGGTTGGTGGTCTTGTGCAGTGCAGCTGCCCTGTAATCAGGGTCCAGGCCAGCTGCCAGACATGACTGCCAGTGGCGCAGCCTCGTGTAAGCCTCGTGTATGCTGCTTCTTACCATGTGAGAATGACAGGCGATTTGAACATGTGTAGCGCTGGATGATCTGTAATTGGGAGCCCCGGTCTGCTGCCATAGCTAACCAGCTGGGGAGGTGACCCTGTAAGCAGGGTGGGCGTAGCCTCATTTCTGTGGCCTGAGAGAGAGAGCAGTTTACAGCATTGTGCAGCAGGATGGCCTTGTAGACAGGAGCCGAGTCTCGTTGGTGACAGCAAACTCTTTAGAACCCAGAGCCTGATGACCTACGCATGGCTGGGTTGAAGTCTGTGGCCTCCTCACCTTTCCCTGTGTCCAGGCATCTGTCCTTCATCCTGCATCTGTGCCTGGCACTCCACATCTGGACCTCTGGGCCACCCTGTAAGCAGGGTCCAGGTCTCAGTGTCCCTTTGTTAACAGCTCTTTCCTTTGTTTGGCTGTTGGCCCTTCCTGTAAGCAGGGCTCTGGGCCTTTCCCTTTTGCCCGCTGTGGGCCACCTGGCTGGCCAGGAGGGCCGTACGCTGTAAGGAGGGTGCTGGTCGCAGCCTTCTTGCCCCCTGGGAGTGGAGGATTTTGCAGCGTAAGGTTTGAGGTCAAGTGGCTTGCAGCATGGAGTGCCTTTCTGGCCTGGGAACACTCTTTGTTTTTTGTGGTTTTTTGTTTGTTTGTTTGTTTGTTTGTTTGTTTGTTTGTTTGTTTGTTT